CAAATAATTTTTTTTTTAAACTCTCAAACATATCCACAATTGTAACACATGTGACATAAACCAAGTATCCCATGGGGTTAAACAGAGGGTCGACTAGATTCTGTTTGGGCTGACAGAAATAACACGCTTATGGCTTTCCCAGAGTAATGTAAACATTTTCCAACCATACTGTTAACATCTTCACACCACACCATCATATATTCCACACACATGCATACACACACACACACATAAACACGGTATTTCTTGGATGATGGCACAAAGAGCAACATTTTCAGATGGAGGAACAGCAAATAATGAGGCAGTAGATACAGAAAGATTCGAGTTATATAAATACATGGGCAAATAAATGTTGATTGCTGCTCCATGCAGATAAATGTAGCCTATCGAAATCTTGGAGAAGGGGAAATGTCTGCTAAATGGGACGGTGGTGCAGAATACTAACCAGGAAAGAGATTTCGGTAATATTGTAGGGAAATCCCCAAAGTCTTTTCTGTGCTGCTTCAATATGCAGCTGTAGTGTGCACAGGGCAAACAGGATGCTATGTGAAAAAATAAATATCATTCAAAGGAGAGGGTAACATAGACTAATAGGTCTTACAGCCAAATTCAGCCCTCTGTAACTTCTCTGATAGAACTGGAGTTGCACCAGGAATAAACCTGATGCATGACATGAAATATTACCATTAAGGCTGGCTGAATAGTATTAATCTAATACAACATTTGGTGAATTTGATTTTTTTGTTTAGTAAATGTTTTGAAAACTAGTCTTGTGTTTTGTAAATACATTTTGTAGTTGAAAATATATAATGAGTGAACATTTAACAGTCTATAGAGTAATTGTGAAGTATCAAGCAATTATATTAAATATTTGGTATTAGAAAAGCATAGAAAACAGTCATTCAAAATATATGTTTTGTTTCTGGTCTAACTGGATGAGTGAAACTTTTAAAAAAGAAAATACCAAAGGACAAGTAATGCACTTCCAGTAGAAATTTCTAATTTGAACAAACATTTCATGAATACAGTACAACCACCCAAATATTTACAAGTACTGAATATTATGACCCCACAAATAGGAGCCAATACAATTTGAGCTGTTTATTCTCCAATATAGTTTTGAAGTTGATTTTTTCATTATTTGGCTGCATCTAGTGTGCTTTGAGAGAAAAAAAAATCTCTTGAGGATTCTTCAATGCATGTGAAAAAAGAGAAAAGAAGATAATATTAGATCCTAATGTTTCCCTCAAAAAGGAAGTCCTACATTTCAAAATGTAACTAGATCACGAAAGCTTATGCTCAAATAAATTTGTTAGTCTCTAAAGTGCCACAAGTACTCCTTTTTTTGGAGATCTGGTCAGAAAATGTGTAAAATGTTAACAAGCTCATGAATTTTTCCTGTGAAATGTTTTCTGTTTTCTCATTAGCTGTGACTTTGATGGGCCTCTAACTGTTTAAAAGTTATTTTAAAGGGGCTGATAAAACTGAAATTCTGTATAGCTCTGAAGAACACATTCACAGGAAGGATGGTCCAGTGGTTTAGTCTTGAACTTTTGAGTCCTAGGTTCAGTCCCTTGCTCTACCACACGCTTCCTATAGGAGCCTTAGTCTCCCTATGCCTCAGTTTCCCATCTGTAAAATGGGATAACAGGCAGCACTGCTCTACCTCACATAGGTGTTATGAGGGTAAATACGTTTAAGACTGTGAAGCACTCAGATACTACAGTAATGGGGGGGGGTGGGGCTATAAAAGTACTAAGATATATGTAGATTTAGTTATAAAATATGGATTACAGGGTTGTGGATGCTTAAACAAATTAGTTTTAGCAAAAGCCTTTTTCCATTTTATACAAAGATGACTAGATTAAGACTAAAACCATATTGAAAACTTGGTGAATAAGGACTCCTAAAAAACAAACAAACACAAACCCTCACATGTCAGGTTCTACAGGCTGGTAAGCCTGAATGTAAGAGTTATACTTGTGATGTTTACAAACAGGGTCGCTCTAAGAGAATGCCAGCATGGGAGCAGGTATACTCTACTGGGAATAGTCTAAGAAATGATGCTCTTCCTTTGCTGTCCCTATGATCCCTTGCCTACAAAACTGATTTAAATTAAACTGTAAAAATGGTGATCTGCTTTTCTGTTCCTACCAAAACGACACATTTAATCCCCAATTTACAAATACATGGATTAAATATTAAAATAAAGATGGCACAATCTGGAACCCCAAATCCATACAACCCCGTAACTTTGTGGGGGTTGAAATCTGGATCTGAACCTGGATCCACATTTTTCAACTGGGTCTGTCTCTGTCAAATATTGTTCTTTGTTTCTTACCTGCCTACAGCAAAATGAGACCCTGGTTTTCACAGGTACGTTTATTTATAGTAACACAGAGACATTGAAAAATCTCTAATAGCCTGTTATCTCATTATCATTTTTTAAGCTTATTATCCACCAGATTCAAATGACAACACTGTGACAAAAGCAGACAGGATCAGAACAGAATGCTCTAATTAGGGTGACCAGGTGTCCGGTTTTCGACTGGAATACCTGGTCGAAAAGGGACCCTGATTGCTCCAGTCAGCACCGCCAACTGGGCCGTTAAAAGTCCGGTCGGCAGTGCTGAGGAGCTAAGGCAGGCTAGTCCCTACTTGTCCTGGCTCCATGCTGTGTCCCGGAAGCAGCCAGCAGGTCAAGCTCCTAGGTGTGAGGCGGAAGGGGAGAGGGAGGGCACAGAGCTCCATGCGCTACTCCCGCCCTAAGCTCTGGCTCTGCGCTCCCATTGGCCAATGGGAGCTGGGGTGGGGGGGCCGGTGCCTGTGTGCAAGAGCAGCACGCTGAGCCGCCTGCCACGCCTCCGCCTAGGACCTGGACCTGCTGGCTGCTTCCAGGGTGCAGTGTGGACTCAGGACAAGCAGGAAGCCTGCCTCAGCCCGCCCACTGTGATGCTGACTGGGAGTCACCAGAGGTAAGCCCATGCCCCAACCCTGAGCCCCAACCCTCTGCCCCAGCCCTGAGCCCCCCCCCCAAACCCAGAGCCCCCTCCTGCACCCCAAACCAGTCATCCCTGGCCCCACCCCAGAGCCCACACCCTGAACTCCTCTGCCTCAGCCTGGGAGCCACCTCCGGCACCCCAAACCTGACCCCACCACAGAGCCCTCACCCCCTCCTACACCCCAACCCCCTGCCCCAGCCCAGTGAAAGTGAATGAGGGTGGGGGAGAGTGAGCCACTGAGGGAGAGGGAATGTAGTGAGTGGGGGGCAGGGCCTCGGGGACAGGGCGGGCCAGGGGCGTGGTCTCGGGTAAGGGGTGGGATTAGGGTGTTCAGTTTTGTGCAATTAGAAAGTTGGCAACCCTAATGCTCTCTGACATCAACAGCCTATTGCCCTATGTAGGTCTATTAAAAGGCAGGGGTCTTCTGAATTTATAGAAGCAAACCATTAGCTGCAACGCCTTAACAAGGTCACAGAATGAAGTACAAAAATTCACTTAAAGTAGGAGAATATATGTATTTGAAACAGGGCCGGATTAACTTTTTGTGGGCCCGGCTCCGAACATATTTGTGGGCCCCTATGGGGGCAATGGAACATGGCGCAGGGAGATTGGACCTTGGAGTCAGGGGCCGGCCAGGGGCATGGAAGGGCCAGGGCGGCTCCGCTCCGCCCAGTGTGACTGCACTGTTTACAAACTGGCCCACGCAGCCCTGTGCTGCTGGCATGCCCCTTCCCCGTGGGAGTGGGTCCATGCCGCACCACACAGCCCCCCCCCACCAGGGCCAGCTCTAGGTTTTTTGCTGCCCCAAGCTCCGAGAGTGCAACTGCCCAAGCAAAAGCAAAAAAGGGTGGCCGGAATGCCGCCCCTGGAATTGTGCCGCCCCAAGGACATGCTTGCTTTGCTGGTGCCTAGAGCCGCTCCTGCCCTACACCCAGCACTCCCTGAACCCGCTGTGCTCAGCACCGCCCCCACACACAGTGCCCTGAACACCACTACCCCTGCCCTGTACCCCAGACAGACCCCACCACTGCCCAGCACCCCAACATGCACAGATTTCCCCCACCCCCACTGCCCAGTACCCTTCCCCACAGGCCCCCCACCACAACTACACAGCGCCCCCCAACAGACCCACACTGCCTAGCACCCCAAAATACACAAACCTCCCCCACGGCCCAGTGCCTCCCATCTCCTCACATCCCAGCATCCTGCCCACAGACCCACTCCCCCATGCCCTGCCGAACCAGTGTAGAGCAGGGATCCCCCCTCCCAGCACAGTGCTGAAGCTTGGGAGCACAGAGCGGCCCCGTGCCCTGGGGCACCACCCAGTCCTACCACCTGGCACTGATGGTGCTTGCGGTGGAGGAAGCGTTTCCTTGCATGGGCGGGGGTGGGGGGAGTGGGCGGGGAGGCAGCCTCCAACTTCGCCAGCCTACCGCTTCCGCAGAGCTGCAGGGAGAGGCAGGCCCGCCTCTGGGGAGCCCAAAGAGTATAGTCACTGGCCCAGAGTGGCAGCAGTTGAGGGCTCCTTTCTTTCCCCAGCTCTGCTGGCAGCGTCCTGCCAGTGATGGGGGCAGAGAGGAGTCCTCAGCTGGCCAAAATGAGCAAGCAGTGGGGAGGGGCCAGGGAGGGGCCGGCAGGCAGGGCTAGGGGCAGAGAGAAGCCCTGGCCAGACATCTGAGAGGAGCAAGTAGTGTATGTGGTGGGAGGAGCCAAGGGGCAGAGAGGAGCCAGCTCTCCGGGCACAGCACAGGTGGAGCGGGCTGGGCCGGGGCCCCTTTTGAGCATGGGCCTGGTGCCATGGCGCCATTGTAAAGCTGGTACTGATTTGAAATGATGTTGGGTTTCTGAACCGAGTGAACAGAGAAGTAGGCAAACAAATGCAGATCAGTGGTATGGCATATGGAATCACAACTATTCTTAAGCAGGAGATGTTTACTAAACAAAAAAACTATAACTTCAGCCACAAAATAACCTACTTCCACATTGCTTGAATTCCAGCTTTCTCTTCTTTATTTGCCAAGAACCACACCCTGCCTGGAATTCTAAACAGCGCACAGAGACATCTAGTGACGGGATACTAAAGCTTATGCTCAAATAAATTGGTCAGTCTCTAAGTTGCCACGCTCCTTTTCTTTTTGCGAATACAGACTAATACTGCTGCTACTCTGAAACCTGTAAGTAAACATACCTCTTTGCAGACTGAATTCTTCTCCCCCACACACATAGGTCATGTTCATGAAAAATTCTAAATTGTATACAAAAGGTGTCCAGCTTTTATTCCAAAGGGAAGAACTGAAGTGTTTTGGGGGCATATAATAGAAACGAGCATGTTAATGGAGTTTATTCTTAAAACGCCTTTATTCCCTGTAATAACAGATAGCTAAGGTGTTAGTATGTTGCCAAATGCTTTCTAAGGTCACAGTTTGGGACCTGTCTATTGCAAGTTGTCTGAAACATTAAGTAAATGTATTTGAGAGAGATGGGAAAGGAGAAAGCTTGATCCTACAACTGTTAGCCATGTGAGTAATCCCTGCTGGCTTCGGTGTTCTTCAGTGGGAATTCTCACATTTGTAAGAATTACTCAAATGTGAATAAGGGGTGCATATTGGCCCTGAGAGTGATAGAGAGATCCCAACCATTGCCACGTATCTCTCATAGATAGTTCTATTGTCCCCTTGAGTGCAAAAAAAGCACCAACAAGGCACACAAGCATGCACAGAAATATACTTTGACTCATTCAAATGCTGTTGCTCCTGCTCCCATTAAATCCCAGGTCTGATGTATCATAGTCAGTGCTTAATTTGTAATGAAAGAGGCGCTGGGGCTCAAGCAATTTTTTTTTTACTTTCATAACTGATGAGGCAAGTAGCAGGTGCTGGTGCTCAGCCCAAGCAAGCTCTGGAATAAAGGAAGCACTGGTCATAGTGAAGGGATGTGGAAGAAATGCATCCAAAGCAGCAATCACATGGGCTGCCACGCATACCAATGCAGGACCAAGGGGTCCCAAGAGAGAAGTATTTAAGAGTTGCATGCAGCAACAAGTGGAATGCAGGTGTCTATCAAAAGCTATCTCCCTGCCTTCCATTGCACATGCTCAAGTCACAGTTTGTACTGCTTGGTACTTTTAGGCAGTCTCTGTCTACTTTCACATGTACTCCTCCTGCAACACCCTATGTAGGACAGTCATTATTAGTGGGAGGAGCCTGGAGATTGTCCTTTGGCCACACCCTACTTTTGGGTTGCCATACCCACTGCATCCAGGTATGTTAACTTCTCCGCACCCCGGTGTGACATAACAGAGCCATGATTTCTATGTAAATTATTCCTTCTCAGTGACGAGAAAGTGTAAATTGTATGTTCTTTCTTCACAGTTAATGGGCTACTCATCCCTTGCTTCTGCCCTTCCCCCTCTTCCAATGGAACCAAGCACTAACGGGGGAAAAGTCAGGTTCCAAAAAGCTCTACAACAGAGGAATGCTCTCTAATTATCAGACCCTCATCAAACAGAAGTGATGTCCGTCAGAAGAGAGCAACAGTGAGTTATCTGTCCATGCTATGCATTCCTTCCTGCTGGCAAGCATTGTAGCTAGTAGTGGCTGCAAAATCCAGGAGCAAACTGTGATGATAGGACAGTAGACCCCATGGCAACAGGGTGCAGGCAGCTGTCTAATGGAGACAGTGTCCATTTGCAATACAGGGGGATGTGTATTAGTGAGGACTACCAAGGAAGTCATTACTGAACCAGATGGTGCGGTGAGAGCCACTATAAAATAGTGGACAGGCCACACCATTCACAGCTAGTTGTGGGCTCATGGCATCATGATCTTGGGTACCAACACAGTGTTGCTGGATAACAGAAACACACAGCAGGCCACAAGCACTGTGGGCAGCTTTGCAGAACACCTTCTTGACAAGACAATGAGCTGAGGTCCTGTAGAAACAGCAAAGTCAGATGTGCAACTTTACAGCGAGCTGGACCATGTCCACTCTTTACAGTAGATAGTACGCCTGGTCAGAAAGAGAACTGGATACACGGTCCATTTGTCCCTGAGTAGCCCTCTATTGTCTTGAATCATGCCCACTTTGGTAGCAAAGCACCAGCCCCAGATCAGGATGCACATCTCTCTGTGCTTACCTAGGGGCCAGCAGATTCAGTGTACTTTGTGTGCTTTGCATAACACTTGCTCTTTTCCAATGCAGTGTGCCACACAATGATGGAGACGACTATATTTTCTTATCAAATTAGTACTCTGTGGTGTGCTCTAGTAGCCTAAGCGTAGGCCTAAAATCCAGAAAATCCCAATTTCTAATCCTAGATCTAGCAGTGATTTTCTCCATTATCTTATGTGAGTCACTTAATCTCTCTGCCTCAGTCTCCCCATCTGTAAAATATGAATAATAATACCTGCCTCACAGAGGATTAAAGTTTGCAGAGTACCTAGAAGATTTAAAAGCTTTCTCTACATGCTAAATATTGTTATTACCTGATTCTTCTTTATTTCCTTGTTGCTAGTGTACCTTAAGGCTGTATTGTTCAACGCTGACAGGGCAACCAGTGGGCCACACTCATAAAAATCATGGCTGGTTTGTGAAAATGAGTTATAAAGACCCAGAGAGCCATAAATATTAAAGGTATTGAATAACAAATCCCCAGCACTTTAATCATGGCACAACAATTGATATTAAAAAAAAATCTGATCTTTTTAATCTCTTTTTTAAACCCTCGTCGTTAATGAGGGATAATGCTAGATTGAAGAGGGCCAAAGAGATTTATTGATACAAATTCAGAGACATCAGTGTAAATCAGAACAGTGGAGAAGTATGCCACTACTGGCTTATGTTCTCTTCCTGCAAAAGGACAGGGATGAAAGAACGAGTGTCTGAATGAATGACTGAATAGATGAATGAATGAAAGAATGAATGCAGAATCAAATAACTACATTAAAATAGATTGCCAGCTTGTTGGACTGGCATAGCAAGGGAACTAACTCTTCAGGGCCTCGCTATAAAAACTGTCGACAATGTCCCCATTTTTAATATAAAATTAAAATCCGCTTTGCCCAATCCCTCTGTGTGTGTTTAACTTCAATCGAAGGTCAAAAGAAGGTTTGCATTTGGAAAGACTGCGGGATCTGGCCTGCGGTGCTATCAAATTTATGCTATTGTATAGCTTAGTTATTAAAAAACAAACAACAAACCAAAAAAACCAAAACAAAAAGCCCAAACCCCAGATTATCTGAATGCTACATTTATGAACTACAACACTATGTACATTAATATTCATTCTGCCTGTGTTACCTCCAGGGCTGGCTTAGACAAGCTGACAACCTGCAAGTACAAGGGGCCCTGGCTTGTTGTGTATGTGTGTGCACATCGTGCTGGGGGCCGGGGGAGTGGTGCCCCACCAGGGACAGCTTGCAATGCTAGTGTGATGTTTACTGTGCACGCCTCACTGCTGCATGCTGTGGAGTTCCAACTGCTGTGAGCTGACAAAGCTCTGTGGTAAAAATAGCTTCAGCCATTTGGGAAATCAGGATGTCTTCTCATTTATCATAGCCCTAGCTAGCCTGGGGCACACTGAAGGTTCCCCTTCTGCCTGTCTCACAAGATCCTCTGGCCCCATCTGAAACACATACATGAGCTTTGGATATATTTCTTGGGCTGCCCCTCCAGCCCTCTGAGTCCCATCAGGACTGAATCTCTCCCTCCAGACCCCATCCTAACATTTCAGAGCAGTTGGCAGCAAATGGGAAAGGGCTGCTGAGCAGTGAAACTTTTGCCTTGCAGCTGTAGGAGCCTAAATGCATGGCTTTGCAGGGGACCTCAGAAGTGCTTGAACCAGGTCTGTATACCTTATATTTTACTTATTTCATACAATATCAATACACTACACAGTCTTTCAATGGAGGACGTCAACCCACTTTACAAACATGAATTCGTTACACCTCACAACAATCTTGCAAGAAAGGCATCATCATCCCTATTGTATAGATGTGGAAACTGAGGTACAGAGCAATCAAACCACTTGCCCGAAGATAGTCAGTGGCAGAGTTGGGAACAGAAGTCAGGAGTTCTGACTATCTACCAACACAATATGGGACCAATTCTCCTCTCATTTATACTGGTACAAATCAGAAGTAACTCCACCGAAGCAGGTGAGAGAAGAATCTGACTCTATATGCCAAATTGTCTGTTGGTGTAAATAGGTGCAGCAGAATTTGGCCCTTCATCTATATCTTTCTAAATCGGTCTTGCAAATTCTGCTTACTTGAGGCAACTATGTATTTTTTGATCAGTGAGTCAAATATCTTTAGTTTTCTCATTATTTTCAATCATCGTAATAAAAGGCAGAATAATGTAGTTTGTGCCAAGGCTGGTAAATTTTCGTAACAATTTTACATGGCTGCTCTACATATATATGCACTACACATGAATGCAACATTTAATTTTCATTAATTTGAAAAGTGCCATTCTCCTATTACCAAGCTTTAGCCTTAACCTTGTATGGACAAACAACTGCACCTGCATGGATCTGACTGTAGGATCAGGTCCATATTAGTAAATACCCATTTTAAATTTTTAATTAGTACAGCACATAATACACAGGTGTGATGTTCTCATTCCTGGGAAGGAAGGGGAAATATTGTGGATAGAAATCTTGTTTGTAGACACTGACAGTTGCAGGTTATTCTTCAAAGGATTTAAGATATTTAAAGAACACAGCAAATGCCCTCTTCATTGCTTCTACCTACACATACCTCTTTTCTGCCTCCTCAAAAACAATTTTATTGCTTTTGAAGACAGCCTGGTGAGCTAAGCTCATGCTTTTCTGAAAACCATCTCTTTTTTACTTTCCTGATCTGATGAGCCGAAGGTCACTAGCATGCCCATTTTGTTCACCACCACTTCAGTGTGTAATAATACTGGTAAAACCTGGCATAAAGAATCACAGCACAGAAAATTCATCCTGAAGTTTTTTGGGATTAGCAGATACCACTAGTATCAACAAGTGAGTGCAACAAAGGTCAGTGACAATCTGAGGGCTGTTTTTTGGCCTAAAAAAGGTATGTTCTTTAATAAAGAAGAAGAAGAAGACCTAGCTCTTATATAGCAAATGTGGCATGCGTTTGGTGGTCACAGCCAGTTCCCAGTGGACAGGCATTCACATCACAGACAGTTACCACATTGATCAGTGTTGGCAATTTCAGATCAGTGACCTCAATGGGTATGGTAACCAATTTAGTCTTCCATCCATAGACTTGGACACTCCAAGTCAAGAGTGGGGCAATTTTAGAGGTTCCTCCCTTCTTTAAATCTGTTTGTTTGTATATTACTACTAATGGGTAGCTGTATTATTTGCTGCCAGCACTGCACATATTTTCATTCTGTTATACTTGCTTTTTCCCTATGTGTCTCCATTTGTATTTTGAGTAGATTTTTTTTATACACACACTATTTCCTCTGGGGCAAAAATATAGAGGAGAGACTTTCCGCGATGTAAAAGAGAAAAAATAAGGAGTGTGTTATGGAATATATCTGAGATTTACATGTAGCAAAGCACAATATATTCTCTTGGTACCCAAGCTACACATCTTATGTAACTGCTTTCAGCAGGCTCGGTAACTGCTTTCAGCAGGTGTTTATTCTGAAATGGTAGCAATGCTTTTCTGTCATGTTGCATTAAGTCACTTATGACGCATCATGTTAGATTGCACCACGTCATACTAGTGCATACGGCAAAGAAGCCAAAGCAAAACAACATGATATGACAGACAACATTTAGTAAAAATATTCACTTATTTGGCTCAGATACTTGCCATCAGTTTGAATCAGAGCATATTGCCCAAAATGAAGCTGGCAGATTGAGGTGAATGGTTAAGTGTCTGTGGTTCACAAGCAACTGTACCTGATGTAAATTCTGAAGTTTCTTGGCATGAACCTGGTATTTATCTTATTGTCATCTATTATACCTCTGCATGTTCTTTCTCTCTCAGTTTAACCCCTTCTGAACTTTTTCCTCCTCTCATTGCTTTAAGTAGGTTGATCGTTTATTCCTTAGTACCTTTTGTTAGTTTGACATAACACAAAAGAGTTCCTGACAAGGAATCAAGATCACATTTTGAATCTGTTTATACAGAAGATTACAGAGCATTGTTAAAGGACTGACTGGCTAATCCACAAAATCCAGATTTAAAGTTTTTAACAGTACTGCAGAAGCACTCTTCATTGCAAGTCTTCCAGATTCCAAGTTTAAATAAGCACTCTTTATTTTGATGGAATTGCCTTAAGGGCTATTTTACATAAGAGTGAAGTTTTTTGGGGACTACACAAAGACTTGGGATGCATCAGGAGAGGTATTTCCAGTAGGGATAAGGAGGTTTTAGTACCGTTATACAAGGCACTGGTGAGACCTCACCTGGAATACTGTGTGCAGTTCTGGTCTCCCATGTTTAAGAAGGATGAATTCAAACTGGAACAGGTACAGAGAAGGGCTACTAGGATGATCCAAGGAATGGAAAACTTGTCTTATGAAAGGAGACTCAGGGAGCTTGGCTTGTTTAGCCTAACTAAAAGAAGGTTGAGAGGAGGTATGATTGCTCTCTATAAATATGTCAGAGGGATAAATACTGGAGAGGGAGAAGAATTATTTAAGCTCAGTTCCAGTGTGGACACAAGAACAAATGGATATAAACTGGCCACTAGGAAATTTAGACTAGAAATTAGACGAAGGTTTTTAACTATCAGAGAAGTGAAGTTTTGGAAAAGCCTTCCAAGGGAAGCAGTGGGGGCAAAAGATCTATCTGGCTTTAAGATTAAACTCGATAAGTTTATGGAGGAGATGGTATGATGGGATAACGTGGTTTTGGTAATTAAATATTCATGGTAAATAGGCCCAATGGCCTGTGATGGGCTATTAGATGGGGTGAGATCCGAGTTACCCAGGAAAGAATTTTTGGTAGTATCTGGCTGATGAATCTTGCCCATATGCTCAGGGTTTAGCTGATCACCATACTTGGGGTTGGGAAGGAATTTTCCTCCAGGGCAGATTGGAAGAGGCCCTGGAGGTTTTTCGCCTTCCTCTGTAGCATGGGGCACGGGTCACTTGCTGGAGGATTCTCTGCTCCTTGAAGTCTTTAAACTACGATTTGAGGACTTCAATAGCACAGGTTTTTTTTGTAGGAGTGGTGGGTGAAATTCTGTGGCCTGCGTTGTGCAGGAGGTCAGACTAGATGATCATAATGGTCCCTTCTGACCTAAATATCTATGAATCTATGAAAGACGAATGCCTGGCACCTGTTTGCTTATGTAGTCAGGAGGACTATTTTAGGAAACAACAAGTTTATCCTTCAAAGCACCTATATTTTATAACATAAGAAAGTGTTTTTTACGGACTAAAAAGAGAAATATTGAAACTTTGTTATTGTTATTGGGATTTTTGGAGCTATTTCACAATAATTCTTTTTTAAAAATGGAGAGCTCTCAAAAATGAGGGGTGAAGAGCACTTGCTGGAGTCAGGTTTTACTGAGGCAAGTGCTGTGCAGGCCTCACCATACGGCTCTGTAAATACACCTCATTTCTGAGGTACCAGGCCATTGTTAATTCAGGGAGGGGTATCTCTTGAGCATAGATGGACAACTGCATTAAACGGTGTGCTAGTATTATAATGTGTGCTAATGGAATTTAGGATGAGAGGACATCACAGTCATTATCACCTGTGACTTAAGAAACATTTTTAACTCAGGTCTCCAGAAGTAAATGGCTAGTCCACTAATCCATGGAGCAGCCTCATCCATCAAGTTAGTAATACATATAGGTGCAGGGAAAAGTCAAAAGCCACAAGCGCAATAGATACCAGGAGCAAGGCACTTCATGTTAAAGAAACAGAGAAGTATGCTGCCCTCACTGTTCTTTGGTAATAGTCAAGCACACACTGACAGACTGTTATGAACTTGATGAATTCCATCCACCCACTCGGGGAGACAGGGAGGACAGCATGGTCCTTTACCTCTGAAATCCAAGGTTCTGACTCAAATAAACTCAGTATTTATATTTTCCACAGGGTCAGAATCAGAATGTTCTGTGGCAAAATCTCACTCTGTAGATGGGAAGGAGAAAAGAGAGACCAGCAGGTAGCGGGGCTGGATATCACACTGCCAGACATTTGCATGGATTTGAAGACCATGCTGTCTGTTAAAGCTGATGGAGCCCAAGGAGGTAGGCCAAATTGCCATGATATAATGTAATATTTACTAGTAATTTCCTTATTTGTATATCATAGTCTTTTGATTCGACTAGTAATGCTTTGTAGATAAATGTAACTCTAATGAAAGGAATAAGAACAAATCCTATTGATAATGGTCAAGATTTCCAAAAGCTATTATTATTATTATTTATTATTTGTATTATGGTAACACCTAAGAGCCCAGTCCTGGATCAGGACCCCACTGTGCTAGGCACTAAACAAACACAGTTTCTGCCCTAAAGAACTTACAATTTAAGGAAAAGTGACTAATGATTTTGGACGCCCAAATTGATACACCTTAAAGGCAACTGATTTTCAATGTGCTCAATACTTTGTGAAAATCGGGGGTGTCTCAAGTTGGGCATGGAATCATTACTCCCTTTTGAAAATCTTGACCTATACCATTTAACACCATTGTAAGAGACAACTTTATGTTCTCTGGGGAGGATATTAATGACTAAGGAATCAGCCTGCTCTGTTGTTCCTGACTAAGGCAGGAAGGGTACTGGGAGCATTCTCTTGCAAGAGGCTGTGAATCCTGAACTCACATTGATGTTGGGTTCCCTTCATTCCTGTGACGTTTTTGAGTTAGACATGTAAGTTTAAATAGAATTATTGGGCCATTCCCCTATAGAAGTTGCTGCAAGCTATTTTGATGGTTTGAAATCCAAACTTTTGGATGTTTATTTTCCCCCAGTATGAATGTACCTGAAGCTCTTTGGCCATGAAATCAAACTGGAAATCTTAGAATAACAGGCTTTTTCTCCTGAGAGATCCAGTATTTCCTGGTTTCAATCAGGTCAGAAATATTGAGAAGAAAAGCTCTTCACATGGTATCACCTTATTCCTCCTCCTGATTCTAGCTGAAACCAATAAATACGGAGGCAGCGAGAAACTGAAACAAATAAACAGGATTTGACTGAAATTGTTTTGAACTTCTAAAATAGTTTCAGGTGCAAATCGAGTTTTGAATGATGGGTTTGGGTAAAATAGGAACTAACCCAAACAGTTTGCACATCTATAGAGAAGATATACATTGAACTCCTCATCAAGACTATCTATTTTTGACTTTTGTAGGCTCACACTCATAAAACATCCTACTGTCTCAACTTCACCTGCATTTGCTTTTCAAAGAAAGCACTTCCTTCATGGTTCCTGTGCAACAACTTCCAGTTGCAATATAAGTGAAATTGATGGATACTTTACGGACTGTAAATTAAGGATGTTCTCATTTAGTGTCATAGGGTGAATATGGCATAAGCACCCTTGTCTTCAATTGGATAGACAAGGTCGGGGGAAGAGGATGAGGAGGCAAAGCATCCATAAAAAAAAAGATGAGAGGAGGGGTTGGGTATGGAAAAGAGGGGAAGGGAATTTTCTTTTGAAGGAATAGTATTAATACTAGTCATTTCCCCTTCCTCTCTTACTCCATTCCTCCATTAGGCCTTCCACACACACACAGGTTGGTTCTTTGCTTTCTCACTTCCTATAGAAGGACTTGTCAAGGTGGTTCTAACTCAGTCAGGCACATCGCTATTTGGGTTTGATCTGAAGTTTGTGCAGATATCTCAATGACGTACATAATAAAATAAGTAATAAATAGTAACGATAATTAAGTGATGCATCATATATAAACAGCATATAAATGGAATATTTGCTGTGGTATCATAACATGGCACATGTTTTCTCTTTAATCCCCTCCCCTCATCTTCACCAGGGATCATTAGTAACTGACAAAACAGCATGTCTACTCCAGCAGGATTGTCCTAATTTCTCCTTGAATCAGGCCAGCACCAAGGTATCCTGACAAGGACAGAAATATGATCATGTGGCACAGTGATATTTTCAGTTGTCTTGACAGAGACCATTATAATTGTCACATTCTTCTTTCTCCTTTCATAGAAAGTAGGCTCCCTAGCCTGAGCTGTGCAACTCCCATTCTTGAAAACAAAAAGCTGCTAACTCAGATCAATTTCCCATGTACTAACATAATGAGATTAAAGTTGTAAATCAACATACATACACACACAATCCCACAACCAGCTGACACAAAATACACACTTTCAAAAGAAACAAATTAGTATAAAAATGTTATAAAGAATAAGACAATGCAGATCAAATCAAACCTAACAAATACAGTTACAGGTGAATTATATTTATTAATGTCAATTCTATATAAGCAGACTTTATTCATGTCTGATCTACTAGACACTAGGGCTTTGCAAATCCTACTCATACTAGTTCCCATGTCTTTGTGAACTAAAGCTGGTAGCTGAGGTTCACCCTAGTACACAGCACTTCAGTTCTGCATGGCTTCTGGATTTGCCTGAACCCTTAAATGGCAAGTGTAACTGGTTAGCCATCTCCTGAGCATCCCCTGTGGCCTAGGATCTGCAGCACCCTGCCAGTTTCCCTATCCTCTGGGCTCCTTAAGAACAGTCCAAAAGTTATAAGACTAAATTCCTCCGATGGGGATCTCCTTTATTAAGTCCAAGTACACTCAAAATAAAGTCTCTTTCTGCTCAGAGTCAAAATAAAATCTCTTCTGCCCAGACTCCAGCTGAGCCCAGTTCCTCTGATATGAGGATCTGTTGACTGTAGTTCTCTGTGGTTGCTCCTCCATGAGAAGTGTCACAGTCCTTCTCCCTCGGGATGTGTAGAGTCTGAAACTGGATCCAGCACCTCCTCCCCAAGGGACTGTCTCTTCCTACTCTTGGAGCAAGCAGAGAAGATGCAAGGCCTGCCCTGCCCCCTATTCCAGCATCTGGCTGTCTCCCCTGGCTATCCATAGACCTCAGATTTCTACCTCCTGCACCCACCCTCCCCCAACTGTCCATGGGCTTTTGTTTTTCTAACCCTCCCTCCCCCCAGAGGCCTCATTTAGTTGCATGATCATCTGTCACATAGCTTAATTCATTCTGTCCACCTGGAGAAGCAAGTAGGCAGAGACAACCTGTGCCTGCCGATAGTGGAGGGCAGAGTAAGGGCAGCCAGCTTCAGCAGTGCTACTGAGCATGCTCAGTCCATGTGAGTATGCTCAGTACAAGCCAAGCCGCAAATCTGGTGGGGCACATAACTCCGAATGCTCCCCCGATGTATCACCTCTGCAAGTAGGCTCTGTCAAAGGTAGGCTGAACTCTGTCTTTCCTTAAAGGGCCAGTCTCCCTGTGATAGTAAGTAAACTTGAAACAAACCCTTGCAAAACTTATTTTGTATGAAAGCAGTCCCTGTTGCCACTTGTCCCTTCCTGCCTCGTTCCCTCTTCCCAACAGAACTCAGGCACCTATATTATCTTGAACAGCCTCCAGAAGATGTGGTGGCCAGGTAGTCTGCATCATTACCCCCAAGAGGTCTCCTAAAGGCAAGGTGGTCTAGGGGCTTGTTGGGGGAAGCAGATCAGTGCAAGTAGGAGAGTGTGTGTGTGATGGAGTTCTGCTTCAACTTGGTTCAGCTGAGATGATGATTTTTTTTTAACAGCTGTACTCTACAGCACCACAGATGTACACGATGCTTTACGTGACAGCCAAGACCCCATCCCTGCTCAAAAGAGCTTCCAGAAAACATTTTTAAAAGCACTTTAGTGTCTTAAGGAAGTTATGTTCCATGACTCTTAAGTGTCTTAGTCATTTGTGGAATTGACTTAGGCACTTTTGAAAATGTTACCCTACAACCTAAACTGAGCACAATATGAGAAAACACGAGAGGATAATAAGAACAGGAAAAGGGGAGGAATCCCCAGAATAAAGTTATGGGATTGTTTGGGTGGTACACAGCACATCAAGTTAATGCCTAGGAATTTGTTTGAACTGCTTAAAAGCTCATGGCGTTACCCCCCTTTATGGAGGCTATGAGTGCATCCCCCTCTGCGCTAACATGGAGCAGTGGCTCCGCTTCCCAGCCACATTCTAGCTGACCCCTATGCATGGCTGTGAATGTGCATTCTGGGGAAACCTACTTGTATCCTCACTCCCTTCTTATTCACCTAGACAAAGCTAGCCACAGTTTGGTCTTTAAATGAGTGCTTAGTGAGGTGTCAAAATGCACATATAAAAAAGAAACAGCCCCTTATTCTCTTCAGTTACAACAGTCACTCTGATTGCCTTTGTGAAAATATTTCTCCTTATCTGTGTGTGCAGTTATTATTGCGCACATTGCAGCTTGCTCTGGAAACTTAGCTCCACCTGTGCCAGCATTCTGAGAAATGAACATTGGAGTGAAAAGATTCCATTCTCTTCTCTTTTACCTGATAAAAAATAATCCAAAGAAATTGAATAATTAACACTGAATGTAGCTGAACAATTGCTAAGGAGTATATTTAATAATTTTTGGTTGCTTTTTTTTTTTCTATTTTAGGAACAAAACAGGGACAATTGAAGCATATTCTTCTCAAGCAGCACAATACTGTTGTGGCGAGAGCTGAAGGAAATGCATTGTTTGGATTAGAATATTTTTTTCATTAACAGGATGTTCAAAATAAACAAAATTACTTGATTCACAGTGCCTGTGGCTGTATCAGGTTAACACTGGCATGCTTTCATACTTGAGCTCATCTTCACTAATCAATCAGAAACACACTTGCTGGCAAGAAAGGTCACATCATTAATCACACAACAGCAATGTTTTGACAAACAGGTATCTACCTACAGCCAAATTTCGCTCTCAGTTACAGAGGTTTAATGCGCAACATACGGAAGATGATGGGTGCCAGAGAGAGAAAGAGATGAAGCTGCAGTGTCTCCCATAATTACACCTGTGTATACCAGGTACTGTAAACTAGAGCAGAATTTGTCCCATTCAATTAAATTAGAGATCATGATATTATGCCCTCCATATACACTTGTATCTTGGATTAAATTCAAGTTGATTGAATAAAAGGAGAATGAGATAAAATGTAATGTATAGGTGGGCACTGGCCTGATCTCTTTGGTTCAGGACCAAAGTATTACTGTTCATATTGAAGAAACACCATAGTGAGCATGATGGTGCTGATGATTGATTTAATGATACTGGAGGTATCATCTTTCAGAGGATATATATAAAAAAAGTCCTCGACTTCTTTGGTCATTGAGGATTCTATGACAAAGGCTGTTAGCCCCAGTCTCCTGACTGGATTACGTCTCAGAAAATTAGAGTTACTATTCTCATTAATAGATTGCAAGGCCAGAAGGGACCACTGTGATCATCTAGTCAGACTCCTGTATAATGAAGGCCACAGAACTTCCCCAAAGTAATTCCTAGAGCTTAGAAAAAAATTCAATCTTAATTTAAATATTACAGTAAAGGAGAATCCCCACCATGACCCGGGGTAAATTGTTCCAATAGCTAATTACCCTCACTTAAAAATTTATGCCTTATTTCCTGTCTGAATTTGTCGAGCTTCAGTTTTCAGCCATTCCATTCCAGCTGGATTGAAAAGCCCATTATCAAATTGAAGAGTTCATTGTAGTTACTATCCTTCTACTCCTAAAAACTCTGCGTGCCATTTCTGCACACAATGGCAATGTATTTTATCAGTGGGTGAAGAGAATCCTGTATGTACAATCATTGGGATCAAAAGTATTTAATAAATAAGAAATTATTATAAATATAGTTTAACTTTTCTAGGCTAAATTCCATGATCCATGTATGGCCTTCCTCCTCTTTAATTTTATCTGGCTCCAATCTTTACTGCAGATGAGGAAGAGAGAAGCAGCTATGTTATGGGCTATGGAGTAGATGCTGAGGCTATGCTAAGGGAGAGGAAAACATCTGTATCTCTTCAGGTGGGCACTACCACAGCATAGGGTATTTACCAGAGTCTGTGTCAGAGTGCAGTGCAGTAATCCTCAGCTAGTGGATGGTTCCTTTGGGACTGTAGCTAGTGGTTGTAGGTTAGAAGTTAGGTTCCTTGAATGCCATGGTTGGAGCTCAGGTAGAATTAGGCAGAGAAGCAGGGAGCCATAACTGGCTCTTCTTAGGCTCTCCTCTGTTGGCTGAGCAGATCTCTGTCACCTCAGAGAATCGGGCCCCTTCTTTACTCTGGATGAAGTCCAGGTCCCATTGGGTATGTCTACACTGCACTACTCTGATTCAGGTTTCAGCCCAAGCCCCCTTCCATCCACACACAAATCAGTCTGACTCGGATCAACAAGCACTTATGACCTAGGACCCTGCTAGGGACATGGGTCAGAGCCCGAGTCCTGCTCTGACTTGGGTCTAAGCTCTGCCATTTTTCAGTGTGGATGTAGATCAAATCGCAGACCTGACTCAAAAAGCCTGCAGTATGGAAGCATGAGCATGGCCAGACCTAGGTCTGGTAATGGAAAATTGTGGTTTACAATGCAGTGTGGATACTCAAGCATGGGCTTGGAAACACCAAGTCCACAAGCTCATATCCCAAAGATCTGGGCTGACCATAGAGTATAGACCTACCCATTGAAGACAATGGTAAAATTCATAATGACTTCAATGGATTCATGGTTTTACCTTCAGGCTGTTGTGGTATGTGTACACTGCATTGTAAACCCAGGACTGTGAGAACTGGGCTTGTGGTCTCAGTGTTTCTAAGAGATTTTTGGTATGAAAAGAAGCACACATTACATTATCTGCAGCACATATTGTGTGGCATAACACACACATAATTGAGTTCTGGGCATCATTAGCTTAATGAAAACTGTGATTATTGGCTCAAACCTACAGGCCATTGTTGTATATGGCGAGGGGTGGAGGGGCCCGCAGTGGAGGGGGAGCAGATGACATAAGACAGAAAATAGTTCTCTAGTTAAAAATTAGTTGCCTAGGCTAAAAATATGATCAAATGAGGTCTACAGTATTTTATAAAGAGCTAAGAGATAGCAGCACTTAAAGCAGTGCAAAATTTGCATATTGTTAATTTCTATTCATGTTTTTACATGCACTTGCTTTCTGTATGCTTGTCAGTCCAATGCACTGGTACAATCCTCACATTTTCAGATCTAGGCTCTCGTCAAACTACAGCTGAAAGCGTACTAAAGACAACTGTGTTTAACCATGGTTGTTGCTAGCCATACTTTGATGATAAATCTGGGCGAGCCACAGCAGTGTAACTATAGTGGGGACAGAGCCTTACACTATATCTTCTTTCTACATTTAAAAATAAAATTGAAAGATTATTTTTTCTCCAAGTCAGATTCAAGGATTAAATATTCCTTTAGCTGAAGCCGTAATGTCGGGAGACCCATTTTCAGTACTCTCTCTCTCTCTCCCACTCAGATGCTGGCAGCAGAGGCCAGTAGCACTATTATAGATGCTCTGCTCCATTGCACTGAGAGGGGAAGGAGAGCATCACATCACTCTGCAACTTCACCTACAGGCTGTTTGAAGAACAAACAGCGAATTAGAAGACCGAAGAAGTCCTTTAACCTTCTGACCCCTGCACAGCTCTGTTAGCTAGTAGTTTTTTTATGCATAGTGGTCAATGCTAAATCCCAGATTAGAATTTGGATATTACCTATTTAAGGGCTTGATCCTGCAGTTTGTACTCATGTGAGTAATCCTACATGCATGAGAAGTCTCACTGACTCACATGCATAGGAATTACTCATGTGAGTAAGAGTTGGGGTCTTAATGGAATCTATTCTCCCTCCAGTGCATGCATTTAAGTCTCATTTGTGCTCATGGGAGCTATGCATATTCAACAAGGGGAGAATAGATTCCCTTAATCTGATGAAATGCAAGGAATTTGATTGTCATGTTTGATTTAATGATACGTTGTTGAGGGTAGAATGGGCTGTAATGTTCAAATTATTCTATGGATTTAGCCCTTTTGTCTGTGTGAATTTTCCAGGAACAGATCATATTTTTTACATATTTGTTCTTGGTTCCAAAGTTGATTGCTGAATTTTTATACAAACAAATTTCAGCCTGGCAGCTGTTTGTGAACTTGTGCTATGACTGCTTCTTTGAGAATTCTGTGTCCCAAATAAGAAGAACTGTTGTGGTAGATGTCTCAGCCTATATACTATAGAATTTCATGGACCCAAGTCATCACTGCATTACTCCAGTTTTATGTCATAGTAAGTTCACTGAATGGAGTTACAAGTGTAAAACTGGAGTAATGTTGTGATGGATCAGGCCCAGTGTCCATTGGTGTGGTGACTGTCTTTCCCACATACAATAATATACTGTATCTACCATGCACATTCATTGAATTTGCCAGTCTACATTTCCTGAAAGAAGCCCTTTAATGAACACTTGAAGTTCAGTGGGTTTCATGCGAATATTTGTTACGTGTTGGAATATCTACCTGTTGGAAAAGTGTAGAATATTACACAATAAATATAAGAAAACTGGTCTGGTGCTGACTCAAAAATCAATGGATGAGTGGATAGGTAACCACCAATTTAGAAATGCAGGAAATCTTTGTATTATTGCTATAAAAGTGGCCCCCAGATTTTTTTAAAAAAATCCTTCTGCCAAAGAGATGGAGAGAGAGATATTAAGCCACTGGAAACAGACTAAAAATTGACACAGAGGCTGTAGTGGCTTAGTACATTTGACAGAGCAATGACCCAAAAGCAAGGCATGAACGGAGTCGCCACGTGAAGGGAGTTGCCACAGCATCACCAATGTGCAAACATTTCAGAGTTAGGGAGGTCCTTGTGGGACAGCCTATCAGACTTTGGCCTTGCCATCATTGTTCCTCCCAGCTTTAGGAAGAGAAACTTGAAGCTAGGATACCACACGTGTGGCAGGATACCAGTTTGCATCTGACATTACTGCCTATGTGTCCATCATCTTTCACATAGCTGTACAACACCAACCCACCAGTTGCTCCAAACAATGCTGAGAGAATGGCCTTCATTAGAACAAACAAATAAAATGGCTATATGACACTTCTATTGCAAATAAAATTTTGTGACACTTTCTGCTTCTACATACATTCTTGGAAACAAATATTTGCTAGTACAAATGTCCACAAAAAAGAGAAGGAAAGAGCTAGTGAATGCTGTTGCAAAAAAATTCTAATTAGAATCCACAAAATGTTCATGAATAATATTCCTTCCTATCTGTCTAGCTCTAGTGCGGAATACACTTTGCCTTATGCCATTACTGACTCCAGGAAACAATAAGCAATATGAAAATAGAAACAATTTGACAATTACATCACTACCACCCCTTTCAATTAGGTCCTCCATTTCTTTGGTATACTGTAAAATTTAACTCATAATTATGCTTTAATTCATTTTTGTTTATTTAACACTACAATAAGATCAAAACAGAAAGCCATCAGAATGCAAAATGCTAGCTGCATTTCCATGTTGTAAATGTTGTATTTGAGCTTTTATAACAAAATGTAGTATTTTGTACCATTCTGTTTAAAATGTATCTGGCTAAGCTCCAATACTCTTTCACTGTAAACAGGAACTTCCTTGGAGGACAAGTAATCATACTTAATGACATAAAAGATCATTAAAATAATGTTCCAAAAACATAGCAAAATTAAACATTGCAAGATTATTTTCTTCTTTGAAGTCTTTCACCAGATGGTGAAAAGTGCTGAAATCATAAGTCTGAGTGGGAAGGGAAAATGTTTCCACAATCCTTTCTTGATGCTGGTGTCAGCATGTATAATTTTTACATGTGGCTATACAAAACTGCAGCTCGGACCTTCTTGGAGTCAAGTGTTTGTGCTCAAGACAAAATTTCCATTCTGAGGTGTTCTAATGAAGCTTGTTCTGAATCTGAGGCAGGGAATTCCCTGATACATTTCAACCAGATCTATTCATAAATTAGAACAAATAAGCACAATCAGCAGAAGTTATTGGGGTAATTTGGAAACTTACTGACCTATTTTCAGACACCATATAAAGGAAGAGCTATGTCATTAAATTAGTGCACTATAATTTTATTTTGATACAGGAATAGAGTTCATATTTTATCAAAAAAGATACCCTGATGCATCTGTGACTTGAAGATGTGTGGTTAAATATTTAAATGAAAGAGGGTCTAATGGCTTCCTTAGAAGAAAGAGCTTATGGACCTAATGAGGAATAGAAAAAAGAATGTGCCAATTGCTGTACAGTGTGAAGTGACCACAAAGCAAAAGTGAATTTGTATCTCTTAGCACTGTTCACATTCTTATTTGACGAATTCTACAAAGTTGGCTTCCATAATATTCCATGGACTGTTTTTGTGGACTTTCTGGTGGAAAATGTTGATGAATTTAGCATGATTTTGTAGCAGAAGTGGACAAAAATTAATAGCAATTAAAAAAAATAGACTACATTGTGGGTAAATGTTCCCTAGTGCAAGTTATACGGTATGGATGGGATTTTTAAAAGCTGTCAGCTTTGGCTTAACTCTGTTCTTATTGAAGCCAATGGAAATTTCAGCATTGGCTTCAGCTGGAGCAGAGTTAAGCCAACACTGAGTTCTTTTGAAAATTCAACCTCACTTCTTCAAACTTTCTGACTTTAACATTTTAGGACTCTAAAGGCCATATTGTTCCTTATGTGGCCTATTGTACATGTGGCTCGTTGTGCTCATGGCATTTCCTATGAATTCTTTCTGCTAAGATTGGGTTTTCTTACTATTAAAGTAATAAATCCCTGCCCTAATAGCCACATCTGGATCTTGAAGGAACCACAGGACTCACAAGATTATGAGCTTGGAGGCTCTGAGCATAGAATCATAGAATATCAGGGTTGGAAGGGACCTCAGGAGGTCATCTAGTCCAACCCCCTGCTCAAAGCAGGACCAATCCCCAATTTTTGCCCCAGATCCCAAATGGCCCCCTCAAGGATTGAACTCACAACCCTGGGTTTAGTTAGGCCAATGCTCAAACCACTGAGCTATCCCTCCCCCCCATCTGCAGGGCTCCCAATTTCTAACCTCCCCCTGGCAGCATCACTCCTTTAGGAAGCCAAAGACTCCTTTATTGACTAACCTATGCATGGGAGTTCTTGTTCTGAGCTGAAGCTGTTATGAACTTGTAATCACAGACTGGTCTGAAGACTAGCTGCTATCTGAGCCCTTGCTGGAGTTGGGGTGTGTGTGTGAGAGAGAGAGAGACCGACCTCCGGTAAGCTTATTAACAGGTTCTTTTATTGTTTTTAATATGTTTTCTATGTAGTGCCTTAAGAATAAACCTTAAAAATAAATGTGTTTGCTTAGAAAGAGTTGTGTGTTAACCTATAACTGTGGGTAATTACACTGAAGAGAGACCCCAAAAATATGGATGCTGGCCAGTTTAGTCAGTCTGGCTGGCTGGGAATAACAGAGTAGGCAGGGAACTGAGCAGCCTGAAAAAATCCTGGAGGAGGAAGAGAGACATGGGTCTCCACCCAAGAGAGGTGATGGCTGGGAGCCAAAAGCCTAAAAGTGGGTGCCCTTGATTGACCAAAGAAAGGGAATACAGGTGCAGTTGCCCTGAACTGTGACTATGGATGAGAATTATGGTACCTCAGCAACACTTCCAAGCCACCCTGGACTGGATCTGTTGGTTTTCACAGCTTCTGTGACCAACAGCTTCTGTGACCAAGGGGATAATATGACCCTACAAATTCAGCATCCAAAAAGAAACACATTCTTTTGTAACTAATAAACTAGCAAAGGAAGATCATTTAATTCATCTCTTCACTCATTCTAGTTCAACATTTACATACTGCAAAACAAAACAGCATCTATGGTTTCTTCTTCAGTACATTACACAGCCTTTATGGTGATATATATGTAATAATCATAATGACTCCATGTAACTTCATAGAGCCTGTTTTGTGCATGACATTTCATAGCAGCATTTAACTTTTCTATATATAATTAGTAACTTACAATTACACACAATCCGCATCTACTTTCCATATGTTCAGGCTAAGTGGGAGTTGGTGGTAGGGACCTTGTGAATTGGTAATGGCATAACAAAGCCTTTGACCTCTGTTACCGGTTCAAATCCGGACATTGTCATTAGTGACCAAAAGCTTGTATCTGATTGCTGTTTATGGCCTATCTGAAACAAATTGGTGATCTCAGTCCAGTTCTTTGCAGACAGATAGCCACATCCCATACACCAATACTGCAGGTGGCAGTAATTGTCACCTTGGATGTCATTATCAACAGAGATTTCAATTGGTGTAGAACATTAACTATCACCCACCTCCTAAGGTTGGTCCATCTTCATCAGAGATAAAGCAAGCTGATGGGGTTGGGTAATGAAGCTTACTCTGGTTCTCACTGCATTATACCACTGTGACTCAGGAAACCCAGATACCTGCTCCACCACGGATTTCATGTCTGACCTTGGACAAGTCACTTCTTTTCCATGTGCGTAGGTTCTTCATCTGTAAATGGGGATAACAGCACTTCTGTACCTCACTGATGTGTTGTGAGGATAAATACATTGAAGATTGTAAGGCACTCAGATACAATAGTAATGTACCTAAATAGATTATTTATCTGTGGAACAGATCTATGTGAGAACAATCTCTAGGGCTAAACATTTCATGACTTTCCAGAGCACTACATTAAATTAAAAACTAACCAAACAACTCAGGTGGTCGTTTTAGCCAGTGTGAAGGCTTTCACATGAATTTTATTGTTTGTGATTTATGATCTTTTAATAAATATACACTGAGAAACCCTGAGGTATACATTTATTCTGGGTCTTAAGAAAGATTTCATGACAATACTTGCTTTGATACAACATACTCTTATGAACACTGTAGAACCTATTCAGGTTTTTATGAATCTACAATTATTAGAGACCACACAATCATCAGAAGGTTGATTGATGCAATACACTGTTTGAGACAAAAGACCATCTGTCATAATTAATATACATAATTTTTCTTGGGAGGGAGAGGAAAACTAGAAATAGTGTAATCTTTATTTCAACTGCAGACATATTGTAATCAAATGCTCTCCCAGCTTGGTAAGACACTAGGTAAAGACAAAGTTAAGAGCTCAGCATCTATCTGCCACCAGAGGTTGCTGTTAGGTTAGCGATTAAACTAGGAGGTTAAAAATATGAAAGAAATAAAACAAAATATTTCAATGGTTAAATTACCTAGAAATTGGAATTACAGAGGATAAAAGGAGCTCTAGAATGTCACATGTGCATGGTCGTTTCTGTGGGCTAGATTCTGCCACCCTTACTCATAGCAAGGAGTACATTCATCTGCAAGCATTCCCTTTGATTTTGATGCTATTGGTCCTTATTTACCAAAAATGATGCCCACCTCCCAGTTATTTATTTCCAAGAATGTAAAGTGGCATCCCTAACATGAAAGCAGTTTATTGATTGCCAGGAGCAAATCCTGGCTAATTTAAGAAAATCGAATTAAAACATTTGAAA